ATATTATTTTATTTATTTATATACTGTAATTAAAAAATTTATTTTATTTATTTGTTTAATTAAAAAATTTTTTTGATTATCATAAAAATGTGCGCATTTATTATGTAACACAAACCCCGGCATAAAATTTCCAACACTGGTTAACAATAGCACTCTAAACTCACTACAGTCAGGGTTCTTTCCAAATTTAGGTATAGAAATTTACGCCTCTTTGTCGATCAATTCATATATTTTTCATATGATACAAACGAGTTAACGTGATACTTTGTGCTTTTTGAAAAAAAAAGTTTTTTAAAAAAATTACTATTATAATTATTTAAATAAATACTACAATATTTTCTCTTCCATAATCTGTTAAAAATCTATAAAAATCTATTGTTTTCCTCAAAGTATACTTTGTTTAAAATTCAAGAAATTCTGTAACAGAAGTTCAAATGATTTGGTTTTTTACTCAATTTACTAACTTATTTATTTTATTTTTTAATTTTAGTGAATAAAATGCTTGCTAGTTATCAAATTGTTACTTCTAATTTTCTTGAAAAATTAAAGGCAGAGGACAATCCATCAAGAGAAAGCCAACGGAAATGACTTAAATGAAAGTAATAACTATTGATGAAGATGCAGAAGAACACTGTAATGTAATTCTTGATTTATTTCAATATGGAACCCAAATATAATTTTTTTACATAATAATAATAATTTCCAACCTTTAAATGTTTATTTTTTTAAATTACATAATTTGTTTATAGAAAATTATTAACTTCAAATTTGCTTTTTAATTATTTTCATAATAATAATAAACATTTTACCTAATAATATTAATATATTAATATATATTGCTGGGTGAAATAGGTGAAATAGAAAATCGTATCAAACAAAATTTATTTAATATTTTCAAACAAAAACAAATTCGCATAACAGACTCTTTTCAAGAATGGCTTTGGTTTTTTAATATTTTTAAAGGTTAGATTCATTAATTTTTATTTCATCTATTTTTTATATATATTTAGAAGTGTAATGATTAAATTAAAAAGTATTTATTTATTAATGCATTACAAGGATCTGATGGAGATGTTATTAATATGTAATATATAGGTTAAAAGAAAAGAAAATTTTATTAATGAATATTAATGGTTTTATTTATACATTTATATATTAATGTAAATAAATGACATGTGTAAAATTAAAATCATATCAATTGACCAGGAGATGACAATTATTTCAAGATTACAAGCACTGATGTTACTGCTATTATTAAAAGGTATGTGTGATTATATTAATATATTTATTTCTTTTTCC